CTTACTTCCAGGGATAAGAATGGCGTACTGGCAACAGAATGGGCAAACTTATTCACTAAAATAGTTCATTGCCTTCTTGGTGGATTGGGGGATGGGTGTCAGATTCATTTTTCATTCCACAGGCTGACCTTAACCAAGATATTTTCTAAGTTTGTTTTTTTTTTTTTTCCCCTTTAAGAGTAGGTAATGATTCTAAAGACCATTAACACAAAAGAGGATCTGCCAAAGTAGCTGAAGAGATGGCTCAGCTGCTTAACATGTTTTTTGTGCAAGGACCTGACTTTAATTCCAATACCCGTATGAAGGCTGTATACAGTGGCGTGTATCTGTAACCCCAGAACCCGGGAGGCAGAGACGCGAGGACTCGTGGGACTTGCTGGCCAGCCGGTCGAGCTGACTTGGAGAGGGTCAGGTTCAATGAGAGCCCTTGCGTTATACCCTAAGACAGAAGGGACCGGGTGACAGCTCTGCAGTGACCAGCACTTGCTGCTCTTGCTTGGCACCTGGCTTTGGTTCCTGGGCAGCCACATGGCAGCTCGGGACCATGACCTCTTGTAATTCCAGTTCCAGGAGATCTGACGCCCTCTTCTGGTCTCTGTGGGCGCAGGCATGCACAAGTACATGCAGGCAGGCAAACGTGACAAGTGACTGAAAATGACACTCAACGTCGGTATCTGGCCTCTGTTGGTATGTACGCATGCGTGAACATGTACCTGGGATGTATGGACACACGTCCATCATACACATGACATAATCAGTCTCTGTCCCCTCTTTCTCCTCCTACATAGACACCCCCCCACACACACACACTTGAAGTCGGCCTCTGGATAGCCTACCGTTTTGCCTCTGGCTCCCTTGGGACCAGTCTCTCCTGGATCACCAGGTTCCCCAGTCTCACCCTAAATGAATACATCAGAATTAAAATAAAAATCAGCGTTGAAATCAAATACATATGTCACGGAGGCATATCTGTTTGTAAATCGATTCCAATGTAAAGTCTTATACTTTTATTTTTTTTTTTGCTTTTCTCTGTTATTCATTTTACATCTTGATTGCAGCTCCCCTCCTCTCCTCCCAGTCTCCCCCTCACACGCCCCGCTCCTCTTCTCCTTTCTCCTTCTCCTCAGAGAAGGGGAGGTCCCCCAGAGGTAAGAACCCACCCTGGCACATTAAGTCGCTGCAGGACTAGGCGCATCCTCTCCCACTGAGACCAGACAAGGCAGCCCAGTTAGGGGAACAGGATCCAAAGAGAGGGCTGAGTTGTTGGGGTTCCCACATGAAAACCAAGCTGCACATCTGCTACTTATGCACAGGGGGCCTAGGACCAGTCCATGCATGCTCTTGGTTGGTGGTTCTGTCTCTGTGAACCCCTATGGAAGAAGTCTTATATGTTTTGTCTTCTAGTTAAAACAGTCTGTGTTGCTCGCTCCACAGCACAGCTCTGGCTCAGGGTTCGGTCCTCCAGACCAGAACTCAGGCTCCTTGGAGAACCAAGGGCTCTTTTTGGTTTGGTCTTCTGACTATTGCGGGACCTGACATTTACTGAGTTCAGAAAAACTTTGCAGAGAAACTGAAAGCATTGAGGTTGTCATTGCTAACTTGTTACCTGACAGGTGGTTTTTATAAATATCCCTGGGGGGGGGGGAAATTCAAGACAGGCAAAAATCTCATCATCTGGGTTTGTTTTTTCTGTATCTTTAATTTCCTTTAAGCCAATGGTTCTCAACCTGTGGGTCACGACCCTTTGGGGGGGGGTCAAACAACCCTTTCACAGGGGTCACCTAAGACCAGTAGAAAACATAGATGTTTATAATTCATTAAACATTACATTAAATTTGCTACATAACAGTAGCAAAATTACAGTTATGAAGTAGCAATAAAAATAATTTTATGGTTGGGAGTCAACACAGCATGAGGAAGTGTGCTAAAAGGTTGCAGCATTAATAAGGTTGAGGACCACTGCTTAAGCAATGATGAACATAAGAAAAGGAGCATATTTAAGGGGAAACTTTCAAAAGGCCTATCTTTCTTCTTTTGCCTATATGAAAAAAAAAAAATCACAAGTGAAATATTTGAAAGGTCCTTATTCCTAAACAACAGATCATATTAAAACTTGGTGAGGGTAACCTGTTTCTCCCTCTGCCGCCCCACCCTGAGGTAGAGTATCTGTCTACCTCATTACCTTTCCTGAGACACATCCCCTGCCTGGAGCATCCTGGCGCTCTCAGTGTACATACCTTTGGTCCACTCTCTCCAGGGAATCCTTCTTGCCCCTGCCATCAACAACAGAGGGAATCAATACCTACACACTCGTCCCAAGAAGATTTATATTGATTTTAATCCTACCACCTTCCTAGTTTAGTGTTAATATCTGTGCATCACGGAAGGGCTAAACTCCCTGGATACTAGGCAGCACTGTCGGAGAAACAAATTCCAGTTCCTAAATTCAGTTACGTACACGAGCTAGCAATCTGAGATGAGAGGCGGAAAGTAGTTGAGGAGGAAGTGTCAGGGTTGTTACAAACAGCCCGGGGTTTCATCTGAGTGCATGTCACAGCAGAGAGGGTCACTTGGCTATGTCTCCAGCGACAAGTAGCCTTTCTCAGATGGGTTTCAATGGAGAAGTTCAGAAAGTCAAAACAGAATCTAGACGTGACGTTCATCATTAACGTCCTTTGTTTCCCTTACTCATCGAAGACTCTCTTCCTACTCTCACCTGATGAGAAATGTGCATTTTATTTGAAATAATTTTGTTTTTTCTCTCTCTCTTTCTCTCTCTCTCTGTATGTGTGTGTGTGTGTGAAGGGGTGCTAACAGAGTCCAGAAGAGACACCGGGTGTCTTCCTCTATCACACTGGCCACCTTAGTTTTTGAGACAGGTCCATCATTGAACCTGGAACTCACCACTTTGGCTGGGCTGGCCTGCAAGGTCCCATCCATCCATCTCTATTCTAGCCCGCCATACTGGGGTTAAAAGTATCGCAACGATGGCTAGCATCTACATGGGTGCCAGGGATTTGAACTCTGGTTCTCTTGCTTTCATGGAAAGCATTCTTGCCCAGTGAGCTATCCCTTGGCCCGTAAATCTTATCTTCTTTCCAATTTTTTAAGCTTTTGATGAACATTCATTAATTGCCAGTGTTAAGGGTGTGATGTAAATTTATGCATAGAGATAGCATCAACCAACCTCCCCATTCTTCCTCCCCACTTCTCAAATTCTATCACTAATCCACAAAAATAGGTAAAGCTTTTATTCTGATGTTAAAAAAAAAGTTCTTAAAGTCATAAAATTCAAGAGGCAAAAAGAAAACTTACCTGAATCTTCCCACCTGTAGCTGCGAACACATTGCTTGTCCTAATTAACTTTCAGCTTTATGGAAATGCATTTTAGGCACCAATGAGATCCGTGCTTTTCTAAGTCTATTCTGAGTATTTTCTTTTCATTTCCAAGGACAGACTTTAAGCAGAGACTGGGAGATGGCTCGGTGAAGAAGGTGCTCAGTCTACAAGCAGGATAATCTGACCCCTGATGCCCCAGCACTGACAGAGGCAGAGTGACCCTGAGGGAACATTGGCCAGCCGGCCCAGCCCATCAGAGAGCTCCATGGTTAGGGAGAGAGCCCATCTCACAAAACAGGGTGAAACGGGATTAAGGAAGATCCCTGCCCCTCCACCCCAGCCACTCCCCAGCCTCTGGCCTCCATATGCACACATGTGGGTACATGCTGTTCCCCCATGCTCACACACTTTTTACAGAAAGACTGCACATGTTTCCATTCTATAGGGAGCCTAATGTCACAGGCTGTTAGTATTTTCCTTTCTGTGGGATACTAATGCTTTCAGTTATTCTGTGTTCTAATGAACATTACCGAAACCCCCTCTTTTTTGTTTTAACTTTCAAAAATCTTTAGCAAGGGAGGCTTTTCCTTCCAGCGCCTTCTTGGATCATCCCCCAACGCAAAAAACATAGTGTTACACGATCTCTACTACCTTAGACCATTTCTCTACTGACGATTTCACACCGCTTAGATCCTTATCATGGGTCTCTAACTTTTTTTTTTCTTTGCTTCATAAAAGATAGCTTTATATTTTCTGAGCATCTTGTAATGGTAATTTGCTATTTTTCACGATGACTGTGTGCACAGGAAAAACCATGGGTTGTGAGTGAGCTGTGCACGCCCATGTGTGTATATGCCCGTAGATAAAGGCACAGGAGAACCTAGGGTGTTGGTCTTCAGGTGCCTTGTGCCTTTATTTTGAGACAGGGCTTCTCACTGGCCTAGCACTTTACCAAGTAGACCAGACTAACAGGCCAGCGAGCTCTAGAGGTCCACCTGTCTCTGCCTCCCATCTTGGCATCACTGGGATTACAAGTGTCCACTCCCACAAACGCAGCTATTTACATAATTTCTAGGGACCAAATTCAAGTACTCATGCTTGCAAGGCAAGTAAGTGCTTCACTTACTGAACCATCTCTCAGCTACTTACGATGATATTTTAAAGTGCTTGTTATTAGCACATCTAAATCACCGGATTTCGTCAACTTTCTTACTTTCTCAGGCATTTACATATCCAGTAACAAGATAATCATTCAGTTTTAAGTTCTGTTTGGACAAATACATTAAGAAAACGCTGTAAAGACTTGTCACTAATAGCTGAGGCAATCGTAGCTGTCGGAAGACAAAATGTGAAATGGCTCCCGAGTGAAGTAACACAGAGGACTGCTAAGAGAAAAGGAAGTTCAAGCTGGAACATGCCAGGCCCTAGGAACCCATTACAGAAAAGCACAGATGATTCTTTTTCAACTCTCAATTTTCACCTGCCTCTGGAGCCCTGGCATGATTCTCTACCACATAGCCCACAGGACATCAAAAAGCAAACTACTAAAATAGATTTTGAATTGTACCAGACTTCTTTATGCATTGCTTTCTTTCTCTTTACTGTAGCAAACCAAGCAAGCAGCCCAGAGCAAACGGATGAGGTCAGTTGGTATAACCTACCTTTGTCCCTTTTCGGCCAACGCTACCATATCCCGGGCTGCCGTCATCACCCTGTAAGCAAATCAACCCATCACACATATCCGGACCATAGATGGAGGTGGGTTTATTGGCAGGAGATATGAGTGATAGGTTTTGGGTTCCATCAGGGACCACTAGGAAGCAAGGGTACCAGGGACAGTGGTAATGGCACTAAAAAGCTCCCGTATAATAGAAATAGCAATTACAGCTACTCGTGTAGTTGTTGTGAAAATCAAGAGACTGTGCTGGACATTGGTAATCTGTCAGTAAGAGGAGGCAGCATTATTAACCAACTCTTTGGAGAGGGTCTGTGTGTTAATACGTCAGCTCTCATCTATTTTCAGCTCACCGAACAAAACCAGCGGGGCAAACTGCCCTTGTGTTGGCCACTGTCCGAGGCTTGTGGAAGCCGTGGGCAAAGCGGGGAGGGTGGGATGATTTCTGATAAAGAGGTCTTGCAGACAAATGGTCAGAGGAGGTCATGGGCAGACGAGATATAGGAAGCTGCGTCTGTTTTGCCATCTCATCGCAAGAGTATCAAGTCCATGATGCCTGCTGCCTTGGAAAAACCAGCTGAGGAACCAATCAAAAAGGGCTGTGACGTCTCTCTCAGTTACAGCTTGGATGCTGTGAAAGCTCTTCTGAGCATTCCTCAGAGACACAGTGCAGACATCTGTTTGCTGTGGTGTGCATATTGTCCCCATAGGTCATGTGTCTGAACACTTGGTCTCCAGCTGGCGCTACTTTGAGAGACTATTGTGCAATCTTCACAGGGCGGAGCCTCAAAGGAAGTGGACCCTTAGGAGTGGCCCTTGAGGTTTTATGGTCCAGCCCACTTTCTGCTCATTGTCTGTTTCCTGGCTGCAGGTGCCATGTGACCAGCGGCCCACGCAGCTGCCTGTCTCCTTCCTGGCCATGAAGGATTGCACTTTCCTTTGCTAAGTTACTTCTTGTCGGGTATTCGGTCACAGCAAAGAAAAAAGTGACTAATACGCCACTGAAGGAAGAGGCTCTGAGGACCAGGTCAAAAGGATGAGGGCAAACCCACCTGCAGGCCCCGAGGGCCCGGGAAGCCAGCAGCTCCCTTTTCTCCCAGGTCTCCAGGTTCTCCCTGTTCAATAGAACAACGAAGCCAGCCATCAGTTGGTTGCTTTGTTTGTTTGAGACAGGATCTCAGGTCGGTTTTGAGTTTGTGGTAGTCCTCCTACCCTAGCCCTCCAGTGCTAGCACTGCAGGTATGAACCACCAAGTCCCACTTTCACCAGGTTGCTTGTTTTTCTAACAGCAAATCAGAAAGAAATGATGGCCTGTGGAGAGCTGTATGTTTGCCAGGCTGCTTAGTTATTGAGCTTGTGGCGTAAAATGTGTTTTTTACCCTGGCCTTCACCTGGAGAGAGGGATAGGCAAGATGTTTTGTTTGTTTGTTTGTTTGTTTTGCCAAGTTCATTTCCTTTTGTTTATGTGAGGATCACACAGACAGGTGATCGGGGTAAACAAGTTTGACTTTTGCATGAACCCCTTCATTGTATCAAGGTGCTTTGCTCTATAAAAAGGGACTATTGGAATAAATCAGTGCGTGACAGTTCTACAGGCTGCCCTCTCGAACAGATCCCATGTGTAGTGTGTTGGTTTGTTAATTTTTCTTTCAACCCTCACTCCCCACTCAAGAACCGTTTGACTCTGCCGGCGGGCCCCAGCAATGGCCCCAGACAGTGTTTAACTATGTCCAATGTGTCACAGAAATGGGCTTGTAGCCAGGCTTGCATACTGTGATAATGAGGTGTGGGGAATGGCTGTGGCTGGCCAAACAGGTCTCCTCCATCCATCACCCATGTTTGAGCAAGTCTCACTTATTGTTGAGTGTAGTTCACTCTCTTAGCTACTCAGCGCCATGAAAATGTCCCCATCATGATCCAGGAAGGAATCTCTCTACTGTTTAAAAAAAAGTCAACAAAATTGTTTCCATGATGACCCATGCAAATCACCCAGATGTGAGGATTTATTAGACTCTGGATCTGAGTGTAGATCAGTCAAGGAAGGTGTCTGACAGGCAGAACATCTACTATGACATATGAGCCAACCTCAGTAGTGCCTTGGGGAAACCTCAGCTACTTGGGGAAACGAACATGGGTTTATGAAGGAAGGTGAACTCCCTTTTAAGAGAAAGTAAAATATTTAATCTGGAGGAGTTTTAGATGTACAGAAGGTTGCATAGAGAGACAGAGTCCTCAGCACCCTACAAATTTACCTTCCTCCAATTCTAGCCACTCTACTTAAAAGTTCCTCCTGTTAAAAAAGGATCCTTATGGTCACAGCTTCCTTGACTTCAGCTTTCTCCTCACTCTCATCTCTCACCTAGCTCTGAGTTCCATCTATCTCTGTGTCTTTCAGTCCCTTCCATCACACCCTATAGAGTACCTTCGTTTCCTATGCATTATGCTCTAATTCATGGAAATTCTCTCTCTCCCCCCTTCATCTCTTTGAAGTTTTATTCTCACCAGTGACACCACTTGCCTTACAGTGCACCCTGGGACACAAAGCCAGTAGCATTCCTCTTTCAAACTGTCACTTTCTGACCATTCTTGCCACAACACATCCCAGAGCCCCTCTTTCTGAAGGTGCTTGTCCTGGTTACCCTCAGATCTTATTACACAAGCCAGTGAACTGTCTTCACGCCATTCCTTCCGCTCCTCCATCCCAGGCCCTCCCTGGCACTTCTCCAGTTCAAAGGTGGAGGGGGCTTCTGCCGCAAATTCGCTCTGCAATGAAAAGCTTCTTTGCTCAGTCTCATGTTTCTATCCCCCCCCCCCTCTTCTGCAATCACAAACTCACTGCTGTCTCCCTTCCACTGAAAACACAATCCTCTCTCCAAGCTTGGCTAAACCATAGCAGGCTCAAGGAATGATATTCTTTTCTCTCCTTTAAAAGAGGAATCTGTGACCAGTGTGATATGGCTGCTATGTATCTCTGCATTGACACAGCACTCATTGCCTCCTTCCTTTCTCCTCTGCAGTCTTGGGCCTAATCACTGGAGCCTGTGAGTCACCAGATGTGAATGTGAATGTTCTTTCCCGCCTCCCTGCCTGAATTTTTCTGTACTGCTTGATCATTCTCCTTTCTTTTCCTTCTTTTCCAATCATTGTCTTCTGTCTCTTCTTATGCTTCTTATAAACAGGCATCACTAAAAGCCCTTTTAATCTGGATGATTTAGAAGCCCATATCTCCAAGCAGGCCTGGCAAATGCTTCCCTTCATTCTTTCACCTGCTCTTCCTCACAACCATCTACATGTGTGACAGAGTGGGAGAGATGGTTCTGTAGCTAAGAGCGCTGCTCTTTCAGAGATCCCGAGTTCAATTACCAACGACTACATGGTGGCTCACAACCAGCTTGCCCTCTTCTGATGTGCAGGTGTACCTGCAGATAGAGCACTCATATATATAAAATAAATGAAAATCTTTAAAAAGGGGGAAGGGAAGGAGGGAGGAGGAAGAGGGGAAGAAGATTCAGCTACACAGACTACACTGTTCTTCACATACCTACCAGACAGGAAAATTTTCATGCAAACAATTATTCTTCAAATAATTTCTCCTAGAATGCTCTAAGCCCCATGCCTTCCTGCCCATTGCTAACCTTAATTGCAACCCTCCATTTTCCCTCTCTGTTTCTTTAAAGGCTTTATGTCCTAAAGGCCCCTTGGAGTCTGTATAGTCTTTGATGTCTCCTTTCCAACACAGGAATACTTCTAACGGTGCTTTACTTAAACCTCAATTTTGGCCTCCCTGGCCCCCACCACATCTTCCTTATGCCATAAATTGCTGTCTTCAAGATGTCCTAAATTCTTTGGGCCTGATTTCATGACCTGTGTATCATAGCTACTAGAACTACATTCATTCATAAACACAAAGATCTTGTTCTGGGCCAGGCACTTCTCTCCTGTACCTGACTATCCAGTACGACAAGCCTGAGCCTTAGCAAAGGTATGCACGAGAAGGACGAAACAAGAGATGTAGGAAGGAAGGAATGATGCAGAGGGTGGGAGAGGGGAGGAAGGTCTTTGCCAAAGCAGCCCTCCTCCTCTGAGATCCCTCAGTTGGATGGGGTGTAGCTTGTCATTCGATTATGCTGAGCTGGAGTCCCTGACCTCATCTTGGTCCACACCCACGTCCTTAGAGATTGCTGGCTCTCCAAGAATCAAGCCAGAGCTTAGGGGCAACAAGATGTGTTTTCCTCTGTGTTGAAAGGGCTCTGGCTAATCCAGCAGCTCTCTCTCTCGGGTAGCACAAATTTTAACGTTGGAGGGGCTGCATGAAGAATGTGACCTACTTTATTTCCTTGGCTTCCCAAACGGCCTTGGTTCCCTGCTTGTCCTCCGGGTCCTGGAGGCCCCTGGAATGAAACAACAATGGCAGATAGAGTGAGACAGAGCACAGCTCTCCCTCAACGCTTTCATGTGTCTTCTATGTAAAATGAAGTACAGATGGGAGAAGAGTTAAGGGCTGAGCTGGGCCTGCTCTGGAAGAAATATTGCGGCTGTCAAATAAAGACTATTAAATAAAAGAAAATTAATAAAGTAACCCTGGCCAGATGTGGCCTAAATGATTACACTTTCCTGTGAGTCTCCGTGTCCAAAAAGAGCCTAGGTTCCCACTGTTTAGCTCAGGGAACAGATATTGCTGAAATGTCTAGCATTTAAAGAAAGCTTCCAAAGGACATTGGCCTTCAACAAATGCTTTCTACCAGCAGCAAGATCCAAGGTCTATTTGTTTTGTTTTGTTTTTTTTGGGAGGGGGGGCTATATTTAATCTTCATTTGCAAACTGTGGAAAGCTCAAAAAAGTTTCACTAAAACCAATTAGCATTGTGACGAGGTGTGTCCAGCGAGCTCTGGATAGAGATTTCAAAATTATTTTCAGAAACTGCTAGAAAACAGAACTGTGATCTCTGTGTCCTAGAACAGGGCCATTCCTAGACAGCACTTATGCTTGTCACATTAGTAGCTGGGATGAGCCCCTAATCCCATAGACCATCAACCTAAATCATGCAGGTGGTTAAAAAACGGACAATTAAAACATGGGTTACATATTGCTCTGTTCCTGGCAGGGCTTTCCTCAAAGCGTGAACCACATCTAGGGCATAAGATTCCTTGGTTTGGGGCCAGGAGGAGGTTCAGTGGGTGATGGTGCCTGCCACCAAGCCCAAAGACCCAGGTTCAATTTTTGGCGTGCACTCGGTAGGGAGAACCAGTTCCTCCAACCGGCTCTCTGACTCTTGCATGTGGGCTGTGGTTGCGTGCTCTCACACAAGTAAAATTAACGTATTAAAAAATAACGTTCAATTAGGCGGTGCAGATACAATGCTGTGATAATAAAAATAACTATACCGCTTTTACCAAGCACGTACTAGTCCTAAGCACTTAATCCACCAAAGCATTTAATCTTCGCAGCGCCCGATGAGGTCGACGCTATCACTATTCTTTTGCTGAAGATGTGTTCACCGTTAGGTAAATTGTCCAAGGTAACACAGATAAGACATAAAGGTATAAGCCAGCCATCCCGGCTAGAGATTTGAAGTCTGTGACTACTGTGCCACGATCTGTGAAGACGGCGGAAATCCTACATGGTTCTCCACGTTTGCATGGAAGGATTATAGCCCTTCCTCCCACGGCTCTGCTCTCCCCTCCATTCCCTCCCCGCCCTGTCAACAACATTTAAAAAAAAAAAAGTTTCATGTAGCTAAGGCTAACCCTTGAACTCCGAATCCTCCCACCTCTACTTCTTTTTAAAACTTAGTGCTCATTTGCATATTTTGGGTTTTTTTGTGACCATTTCACACACGTGAATAATGTATTCTGATCACTCTCATTCCCACCCAGCTCTTTTCCCCCTCCCACTCCATCAGTTCCTCTTTCTTTTATTGTTTTCTGACTCACTGAGTTTAACCAGGTTCACTGGCGTGACCATGAACATGAAGCTATCTAGGAGGGCCTTGGCGGTTCACCCTACCTCCACCTCTTGAGTGCTGATCCCCAACGCTAACCTTTCTTGATGTGTTCTTGATGGTGTTATTAATCTAAGAGCACATGTTTTTCAAAGAACAGGCACAGCTTTGAGTGAAATCAGTCTTTTGGACCTAGTTTCCCGTTGTATTTCTTAGTGTTCGGAGATTTTAAAGAAGGGTCTTAAGGGCAACAAAAGACGGGACAAAAGAGGACGTCATCCTTTTCAGAAATGTCCGCCTGGATGTTAATGCATCAGCTTGCATTTTTTGTTTTCAATCGTAGCCGCATATTGGCTAGATTAGCACGATTCGTTTATGCTGGACACCGAGTACTGTGGAAGTTAATAAGCCTCCGGTATGCCATCAATACAAATCACATCTCCTTCCAAGATGTAAGTCCCACGGAAAGCTTTCAAGTCTGCCGCTAGAAAACACATTGCCACACTGGAGGGTTCCGCCTGTGCCATAAAACACTCTGAGACCTATGGCGATGGGTTTGTAGCGCCAATAAAGAACTCCACTCTCCTGTGTGTCTGGCTGTGTTTGTCTCTGTGGATTTCCTTCGGAAACAGCAGTCTGGAGATCCCATTCATCATGTCCCAAACGCAGAAAATTCTGCTTGTCTTTGAAACTACATTTTAACAGCCAACAAGAAGGATATTTCAGGAAAACCAAGCAGAGAAAGAAAAGCAGGGTTTTCAGCCAGACAAATGGAGGTGGTGGCAGAGAGACGTGGTGCCTCTGACTAACTGGCAATGCCAAAGGCTGGATGATTTATGGCGGTGCCATGTCTGGCCAAAGCGAGATTAAAGGGATGCATGGATAAAGGTACCTCACAGGGCACAAGGAAGAATCACTCCAGTAACAGCCCTGGAGACCATTTTGGATCCTAGAGCAAGAGAAAGACCAAGGCCTTTGGATTTCAACTTGTCCACATAGCCACATCAATATTTGAGATCAACATGATGAGATAATAACCTGATAGACGTTTTCCTTCGTACTTTTTTTTTTTTCAATAAAAACCTGCAATTGTGGTGCCAGCCAGCTTTTAACAATTCAAAGATGTGAATGTGGGAGAGTTGTACCATCAGTTTAGTTCTGCGGTGAAATTACAAAGTTTTCATGCATTTGGAAAGAGCCCTTTCATCAAAACCAGGAACAAACATCGTCGGGAGCAGATATTAATGCACTTTAAAACAGGATGTCATGGCATCCAAGTTTATGCAAATAGCCTCTTAAATATTTTCATGATGAGCACAACCACTTAAATGTTGGGCCTCTGCCCAGTTTAACTAATGGATGCAAAGTAATGCATTCCCTTGATACTGCTATTAGTGGAGGGTGAAAGTCCCAACTGGGTCCCGTTCATTCATTTACTGCCTGATTCATCACGCAAATGTATTGAGCTCTGCTGTGCCAGGGACTGCGGTGCCAGGCTCTGGGGATTCAGCATAAGCAAGGTACTAACACAGCGGGAGCTTGCAACCCGTAAAGACAGACCAACGGATACATATACGCTACGCTAGCTACAGACAAGGAGCAGATCACAGGGGTGGCCTTGCTACTCAAAGTGTGGCCCAGACTTGAAGCATCAGTACCAACTGAGGACCCGCTGAACATGCAGAATCCCAAGCCTCGATCTGGACCTCCTGGATCAGGACCTGCATCCTAGTGCACACTCCTGGGGGTTCTTAGCACATTTTTAAATAGTGTAGATATTGGGTAGTCACCCCCAACCCTGGTGTTATCTGGGGAGAATTTAGGCTTATCAACACCGTGGCTTCACTTGCAGAGGTTCTCAGGGCTCTGAGGAGGGTCCCAGGTGGTGAAATATTTTAGTCTCCTCAGGAGATTAAATTTTTTTTTTTTTTTTTTTACTTATGTGTATGCGTGTGGGTCTATGTGTCTATGCCATATGTGTGGGGGTACCTGTAAGGGCCAGGAGATGGTTTTTGACCCCTTGAAGCTCAAGTTACAGGAGGTTGTGAACTAGAGTCCTCTGGGAGAATTAGCACTAAAATCACCTCTCTAGCTCCCCCAGGAGGTGGGATAGGCAATTCCAAGTGACTTGTGAGCAGCGAGAGATGAACCCACAAACCACAGAGGAGGAACTATTGATCTGGGCTGAGAAGCAGAGCCAAGGAGGTCTAGAGAGGACCTTCTGCCTCTACAGTCTGGGCACAGATGGGATGACCGGGGTACGATGCAGCCGCCATTCCTCCAGTCAAGTCAAGCTTAATATACTTGGCCTGCAGCCTGCAGGCAGTAGGTAATTCTCCTTTAGAGGAGACAAAGCGTCCACCTTGAAGCCAGGGTGGAAGCCAGGTCCAGTTGCTTTCCCTTTACGTACCTGGGGACCTTTCATTCCCAGGCCTCCTTTATATCCTTTCTCACCAACGTCTCCTCTCGGGCCCTAAATACACAAAATCAAAGTGTTATTTCCTCCTTTAGTGAGAACACTTAGACAGTAAATTTGCACATTAGAAAATCGAATGTTAAGTCAAGGTAACAAAGAAACCGGGCAAGAAGCTGAATTATGCTGTGGCAATCTGTGACAATCTCTGAGTTCCTCCTCATCTGTGTAGGAACACCACAGACCAGTCTGAAATTGAAGTGGTTGAGTCTATATAGCCAAAGGAGCTAGGGCCTGAAGGAAGCACCCCAAAGCTGAGATTTTTTTTTCTTTTCAGTTTTGCCCATTGTTCTCAGCTTCTTCAAACTCTGAAGCCATATGAACTGTATGTAAAAAAAAAAAAGTTTTCTTAATCATATAAATCTGAAACTAGAATATTTAAATCTTATATTCAAGAACCACAATAAAGATGGGTCATAAAGAAGATGCATCACTTAGCAAGATGAGATTTAGATATTTCTGTTTCTGGAATATTCTATTGCCTGTGTGCTATGGCTTCCATAGGTTCCAAAGACACTTTCTTCATGCACTGTATTTGGTATTTTGCTTTATTTTAAATTGTGCCATGAATAAAAATGTCTATAAACAGAAAGAATGAATGCTGGATGTGACTTGCATAGCATGAAGTAAAGGCAGTCAATTTATTGAGATGCTTTCCAATGATCCCAAGGCAAATATTTCTCACTTTAAAGTAAGAAAATTGAGCCTTCCTCAGCTGGCGCGAAGTGACAAATAAAAGCAATCAAGCTGGAGAGAGAGAAAGAGAGAATGGGCTGAAGGGAAGGCTGTTTACCATGCTGAAATCTTGGTGACTTGTGGACAAAGTGTCTTTCTGATGTCTCAATGTATTTTGCCCAAATGCCATACACAATATATAATGCCTTTATTTCTAAGTACTTGCTTTAAAACTTTGAAAAATGGAACTAATAATTGTCTTGCCAAAGCTGAACAGCACACCTGTTTTTCATACACTCAAAACTAAGTTTGGAGAGGAAAAATGCTGTTTTAGTGGTCGGGCTTTTATCCCAGGCCCTTCCTCACCCGTTTCCCCTCCTCCATCCCTTTCCTTCCCCACTGGAGACTTAACCCAGGGCCCAAACATGCATTCCACCACTGAGCTATACTCCAGCCCAACTGCTTTCTTCCTTCTCAGCATTTCTTGTCTCACTGTGGATTTAGGCTATGCTTTGCCCTCTCTGGCACACGTTTCCTCCCTGCTCACGTGAGCGGTGCAAAGCGCCAACTATGGCTTGCTCTTTGTGAAGGAAAAAGTGCTGGTGGCAGCTCCCCAGAGAATGGAGCTAGGACAGACAGGCAGGGCCCCACACTGCAGATCACCTTGCTAAAGCCTCCAGCTGCACTTGGAACAGATATTTCCTTGGGTTGAGCCAGTATTTCGACACTATGGACAATCCAGAGATACAACACTGAGCTATGACTGTGTGAAATTGGCCACCATATCCAAATTGGAGGTTCAACATTTTCCTTGGCTCAAGGTCTCCTGGAATTACCCTAACAATCCTGAACCCGAGGCTGGCTGTCCAGCATGTTCATCTCTTTTTCACTTCTTGATGGGGACAAACTCCGATAAAAAAGACAAAGGTCTATACAAGTCAAGCCTTGATGTGACTTGCTTATTTTATCAACCTGAACACACTTCCAACCACCTGTCATTCTGCAGGGCCATATGAAAGGTCTATCCAGGATATAGATTTCCCACACACAGCCTCTTCTCTTTGCTCGCACACCCATATATATGTTGTTCTCCGTGTATACCTGAGGGCCCACAAGTCCCGGTGAGCCTTCAAGTCCATCTGGGCCTGAGATGCCTGGATTTCCCTGTGGTGAGAAAGAAGCAACCCATTACTCTATCAGTGGTCTCTCTTCATGTGCAAGATTAGACACCCCCCCCCCCCGTGGCAACGAATGGTCTTTGCAAAAACAAAGGTTTCTTTTGCCGTTAACATTGTGAGGTTTCACTGTGGTGTGGTCATGTGATTGAGAGTGGACGTTTTAGTAACAAGCCTCACTGTGCTTCAAATCTGAGCGTCCGCATTCTGGAAATCCCAAGCCACCGTGGCTCGCTCTTAAAGAGTGTGCCTTCAGGAAGCACGATGCAGGCTGTATCATCAGTGCGTCGGAAGGGGATGTGACAAGGATGCCCACTTAAGCTTCCCGAGGACTCAGAATACCCAGTTTGTAGTAAGCTTTCGTTGTGCTCTTCGGTTTTATATGGGGTTTTCACACATGTTGGAATTGGAGAGGCTAACCGAACACAAATCCAAGAAAGGTTACTTGGAGTTTATATTCGAAAGCCAAACAAGATGAAATTTAATCATTGGACTAAACAGCGTCTTTGATCATTTTTATGTTTAAGCACTAATGTTTTTTGAAACTTTTTAATAAAGTGACCCAATTTTTATTCCATTTTGAATTCTTAAAATTGTAGCCAATATTTTCTAACTACTTATTCTACAACCAATGCCATCAAAACCAAACAAACAAAAGTTTAAGATGGGAAGAGATATGACTGTCTTAATTTTAGTTCCTTGATTGGGTAGGAGTCATTTATCTTTTGAGGTCAAGAAAAAAAAATTATCACTGACCTGTGGGCCTGTATGTCCCCTTCGGCCATGAACTACCTAAAACAGAAGGGAGAAAAATAGATATTCTTGGTTTAGAAAAGATGGTGTATATGTGACTTAAATTGGTAACAGATACTCAAGGCTCTGGCATAAATAACTCCCACATTGTGCTTAACACATCCAGTCACTCAGTGAATTGTGTAAATGGGCTGTTGCAAACCCTGAATTTCTATGTAGGGCAACAGGCCATTGAAATCACAGACAAGCCAAAGCCAGAGGTACACAGGGAACAGGTCATATCTGGCGACCCACCGCCACCAAACTTCACCTGAGCTGATCACCAGCTGCCTGATCTGGACTGTATTTCTTTCTTATTTTCCCCCAGGCACTACAAAGGCAGTCAGAAATCAGGGATGGGCCAGCCGGAGGGCAGGATGCCAGAGGAAAAACTAGGAATTGATTCCAGGAACTTTGTAATACTCTTAGCTCAGAAATTAAAGAGCCAACCTACTATGATTTTTAAAGCCAGGCAGTGTGATTAGCTGTCAGAAATCAATCATCTCAAGTATTCAAAAGTGACTTGATTTATTGTGTCAATAAAATACCCAATCCAAATAACACTGCTAAACAGGAAAGTGACATTTTTCACTCTATGTAAGGTTAGGGTTCAAAGTGCATTCCCAATTTGTAGTCCGTAGTCCAGAAAAATCAAGCGACAATGGCATTTCCTGTCTGGCTTGGACACTTATGTAACATCAGAACCAGAACAGAACTCACAGCCAAGGTTCGCAAAATCAACAGCGGCCAGACAACCCTGTCTTGCTGGAAACTCCTGTAAAATGTTCTGACAGGCGAGTATTGACTGTATTTCAAAATATATTGTCATCTAAGAAACAACGGTGTGTGTGTGTGTGTGGGGGGATGTGTCTCATTTCTTTCAAGCGAGAACGACTCATCTTCAAGGCCCAAACTCTCTGTCAGAGAAGAAAAGACATTTTCGAAGGGCTGGAAGGACGGTTCAGTGTCAAAGAGCACCTGCTCTTCTCATAGCGGACTCCAGTTCAGTTCCCAGCAACCACATCAGGCAGCTCACAACTGCCTGTAACACCAGTTCTAGGGGTCAAACATCCTTTCCTGGCATTGACAGGCATTTGCTTGTATGTGTGTGTGTGTGTACGCACATGGAGACCAGAGGAAAATCTCCAGTGCCATTCCTTAGATGTCACTTACCTGGTGCTTTGAGACATTGGCCTGGAGCTCACCAATCAGGCTGGGCTGGCTGGCTGGCCAGTGAGTACCAGGGAGGAGTTGGCCTGCCTTCTCAGTGCTGGTATCTCAAGGGTGTACCACCACACCTGGCTGTGTCATGTGCGCTCCTGCTCAGGTCCTCGGGCTTGCCCGCAATCACACCAACTGAGCCGTCTCTCTAGCGCCTCCCCCATGTGACTTTAGAATCTGATTCTTGAGAGCGCTCAGTGACATGAGTCACCATAGCACAAATGTACCTCTGGTGTCCCTGCCTCCTCCAAGGCATGGGGACTAGTGTGGTGAGCAAAAACTGACCCCTGTCCTTAGTCACGGGGGTTTCGGCCTAATGGAGGAGGCAGACTTTAATCTTAAGAGCGACGTAAGTGGTGGGAACAGACCCAGAAATGGCCACCTGGCATGTTTGCTGATTTAAGCTACGACATCATGGGGAAGAGACGGCAGCATACACAAGACACAGAAAGATGACAAGAGACCAGGGCAAATGATTTTGCAGCTTCTGCCTCACATTTTCCAGTGGTTTACATAGGACAGATAATCCTGGGATATCTGAAGGGCACACTCAAAGGCTCACTGGATTCCGGTCACACACCCAGAGATCCTGACTCTTCTTTAAGGCAGTGAGAGTGGGCACATGGAGAGGATGAAGTACCCTCAGGGGACCTGAGGAGAAAATGATGCCAAGACAGGTTCTCCAGTTCCATAGTTCCCACAGCCTGGTTTTCTGGGTACTTATGAGGACCCTGTTCTCTGGGTAGGCATGACTGATTTGGGACAGAAAGTCACCAGGAAGCAAGCAGGGCATTAGTGGCAGATACCCCACGAACCTAATTGGCAGGCTCATCCTCAATGATGCTGCCCTGGAGGTCCCTGAGGTGGGGGGAGGGGCTGTAAAGAGGTGCCCAAAAGGATGAATGGACAACACCACAAAAGCAATCGGGTCCAAACTGGAATGAAAGCCTGCTTTTGTCTGAGGCTACAGTTGCTTCTCATTACCCCTGGCAGAGGATCTGTTCTAATTCTCAACACAGTCTGGTTCTGAGAGAGCCACCCCTCCCATTTCCCACCAATGCCTGAGGCTATGTTTTTCTGGCTTCCTGCCTTCCTCCCTGCTTCTCCTGCCCTCTGTCCAGGCTAGTATTTTGGCCTCACTCTGATAATAGCTTGTTCACCCTGCAGGCCTGCCTCCCTTTCCATTACCGACCTTCAGGTAGAAGAGGGGTTTTCCTCCTCCTCTTCCTTTCCAGGAAGCATCTAGCAAAGTCTGGGAACATTTCTCGCTGGGCGTGCTGTTAGCACCATGAGTAGATGTTAATCAAAGGAGACAGGAACATCTTTCCATGAATGATGCAGCCATTCCCAACAAGCAATGCTTCCAATAAATGCCAGTGGTACTGGGGCGGAGAGACTTTGCTATGATTTACTCCATGCTTCTGACTTCCTACAGAGAAAGAGAACTCTTGTTGGAGTTCTTAGCTCCAGTACTCTGTTCCTGGTTCACTGGTGGTATTCACTGTTGCTCAAGCGACTAGAGATCAGATTGGGTTAGCTGGCATCCATGCCCCTGCATGCCACCCCTGCTACTGCCCACTCTCCAGTCACTTGTCAGTTCAGCAGAATTTGATGGCACTAAGGGTTCCTCAATGTTCTTCATGCTGGCAAAGCTGCTGAAAGCTCTGAACATATGAGACAAGCACTCAGCCACTGAGCTACGCCCTCAGCCCAGTATCTACCTACACTTTACTCTTTTATAAATAACATAGACTGCTTCTTCTTAAAGAAGAATAACCTCACTGTAATTACAGGAACAATAAGCCCTTAGTTAATATTTGAATGCACATAAACTATAAGCATAGAATCACCCCAAATCCTCCATGCAAGGAATAAACATTAGCAGCGGTGGGAGAGATGGCTCAGAAGTTAAGAGTACTTCCTGTTCCTGCAAGAGGCTGCAGATTCAGTGCCCGGTGCCCAGTGCCCACAGTGCTCCCAAACATCTGTACCTCCAGTTCTAGGAGATCCAATGTCCTCTGCTGACCTCTATGGGCACTGCATGAAAATGGTACACAGGCATACACACAGACAAAACACTTATATACATTTAAAAAAAATCTAGAAGGTATTACATTTAGTTCTACTTGAATAAAAAAGTAAAAATAAGGAGTTGGGAGCCTGAGGGCAACGTTTCTGCTCTCCTGCAGATCTCCATGGTCCCTTTGCTTTTCTGTTGCCTCCAGGCTCTACCAGTTGGCGCCTTTCACTTTTGATTGCCCTGTAGATTCTTTAAGCTTTGTACACAGAGTGACTATGTGGGCTTCAGAGCTTTTAGATGTCAATCGTGTGCCAAGGATTTCACTTTCCCCCTGAGTAACTCCTCTTCCAATGGAGAGTGGGGGCTAATTTGCCATTTGGATATGACTCCGCCCCTCCCTCATGTCTTTTGTAGTTTGATTACGGAAGCATCTGATTCGTTGGCAACGAAGAATGGCCTGGCTATCTTTGAAAGAGACCTTGATGTTTGAAGAACCCATGGAGAGGTTAGTGGGACATGGAGACACTTTGAAATCAAGGTTACATCTTCCTCCAACTTTTGGCATTTAGGAGAGTCTTGGGATTCACAGGAAGCCCTCAAGGTCACAGTTTGTCTGTCACTGTCTCCACTGACTCCCTGTCCGTCACTGTTTGCAGCCTCCCTGGCCTCAGTTTCTGGTTGTGGGTGGTATATACAGTAGTGTTCAGTTTCTATCCATTCTCTCTGCCTCCTCTGCTCATTGGGGTGGATGTGGCTAACTCCTGCTCCTCTCTGAAACGACATTTAAAGTCTGCAGAGCTGTGGTCACTAACTCTTTCTGAATGGTGACCGTTACTTTGAGAGACATCCCGTCCTGGCTTCAGAGCTAAGTGGCATTCGGACTTCCACACTACAGTCCAGATGCAAAACTAGCTGGCCAGTGTCCATCCTTGTCTATGGCTTAAAGGTGGGGTCGATGTTTGTGTCTTTTTTATTTTATTTGGCCGAGTTGCACAAAAGAAATAGTTGATGGAGTTGATGCACCCTTGCTTTGTCATTTGTCAATAGTCCTGCTTTGACTCCTGAAGGACACAGGGGTACCTATGTGGGGACCTCCTTCTCAGAAGCTGGAGACCACAAAATAATACACACACACCCGTTCACACCAAGATTTCCTGGGTGATGTTTTTGCAGGGGCACATAAGCCTGCAAGGACGTCCTTCCAGAAAGCCAAGTGGAGGGGATAAACACTCCCTCATCTGCATCTACATTTGCATATGCATTAAAGCAACATTAGCAAATCGGGTGGCCAGCAATCACACTCTGAACATTTCAAAGGTAACCTCCACTCCTATTTCCATTTCCTAGCCTTGTGAAGAACACGGGTGTGCTTCCAGATGCAAAATACCTTCCCGATGGCGTGTAGTAGCTAGTTTCATAAACTGCTTCTGCCCAGAAAATACAATGCATCATAAACACCATCCACTCATCTAGTTTTTATTTGTGCTCAATTTTAAGACATTTTATGTTTTGAAGGGTGGGGTGAGGAGGCTGGATGGCTAAACAAAGAATGGAAAAGAAAATGCTGTGAAATGAGACAAAATTGGCCTAATTTAGACTCTAATGCAGGTGTGGAAGTGAATTCCATTAAGTAATCTCTTATTGGATAAAGGTTTTCTATTTGGACTCTTTGTGTGCTTTTCTAAGCAGTCACGCATGGAATCTTTTAAAGCATGTATTTAAACAAAACCAATAAAATAAGCTAAAAACAAACTAAAACTGCCCCCCCCCCACCCTGAAAGGGTTCCACAATGTGCTGGCTTTCATCAACTTGACAAAAACGTAGACCTATCTACGTTTTTGGGAAGAGGGAATTTTAATTGAAAAAAAAAAATGGCTCTGTAAGATTGGCTTGCCGGCAAGTCTGTGGGGTATTGTCTGGAATTGTGATTGATGTAGGAGAGCCCAGCTCACCTTGAGGGGTCCACCACTGGACAGGTGATGCTCAGTTGTGTAAGAAAGCAGGCCGAGCAAGCCAAGAGGAGCAGTTCAGTAAGTAGCTTCTGTTTCAGTTCCTGCCTTGAGTTCCTGCCCTGACTCACCTCAGTGATGGTCTGTGACTTGTGAGTTGCAAGTTGAAATAAACCCTTTCTGCCCCAAGTTGCTTCAGGTCATGGAGTTCTATCGCAGCGTCTGTCAGACTCCCTAAGATACTCAACAACCTAGTCTAACTCTTGCTTACATGCCTACAACAGACTTTCTCCTTAATTTTCCTTTTGCTACCTTCTGTGGTTGTTATTATTTCCAATTTGTTTTTCGGAAATTTCGTATGTGAGCACACTATATATGACAATATTTCCAGCCCTCCATCTCCCCCTACTCTAAGTCATGACAGGGATGCTACATCCTTTAAAATATCAACATTATGGTTGCCTAAAGAAGACCTCGTGTTGAGAATAGAAGTAGACATGCCAATATGGAGCGAGAACTTCAGGCAGTCAGTCAGTGGCTGCTGAGGGAGGAGGAATCAGTTTTCTTCCCAACTTTCTTAACAGAAAGTTTAGTAGACAGTGGAGCTGGGACACCAAGTAACCTCAGTGGCGACTTCGGTTACCTCACCAAAGAGGCAAAACACTGATCGCTTTCCCCTGATTGGCCACTTTTTGTTTTCTTTGTGTAGTAGTCTTTCTTTGTGGATAACTTCCCATGCAGCCAAGCACTTTCTTACTTCAGCTCAAGGGCTTCAGTAGGCAAGCTCCATTCTGAGGTAGCTCTGTGTCTCTAGATAGCATCTCTGACCCAGTAACCATCCCACCAACTCCCCACAGTCAGCCACTGTCATCATAGTTCAAGCTATGAGATCCATAGGTCTAGAAGCTCCTTCCCTTGAAGGACTCTTACCGTCTTTCTTCTTGAGCCTGGTGTCCCGGGAGGGCCCGGCCAGCCTCTTCTGCCCTGTCAGACAAACAAAAGGATGTGTGACGGCAGCATGACATCACTGACAGGGTTCGTTTCAACATCTCTTCATCATGTGCCAGAAGGCTCATACGGGGATTTTTTTTTTCCCTGAAGTGTGATACTATCTTCCATTGGTCATAAATCACATCTCTCTGTGGGTCTTGGGGATCCACAGCACAATTCTGACAGCATGGTTGCAGGCTCCGATGCTCGATGTCACTCATTCATGCTTGAAGCATGGTCAGAATGCTCAAACTAGCCCTACTCTGTCACCTGGCCTAGCATGAGTGTTAGCCAAGAAAGCACAAAAGGAGGCTATCCACCCTATTTTACAGGTGAGAAAAATCAAGGTTTGCACAGAGTGGGGGCTTGGTGTGCACAGCGGGTCATGGGCAAAGCCTGAGACAGAAGCGACCGCTGCTGACTTCTCCCAGCCACGCCAGGCTTCTTCCCCAAGGGGAGTTAGTTACCAAGGGAGCTTGCTCATTGGGAGGAACCAGAGACACACATTAACCCCATAACGCCTTAAATCCTCAGTAATAGGATGAAGGGACTAAACTGTGGTCTGTGAGATTTTAGAACAATCTCCAGAGATTTGCCTTGGGGGAGGAGCCACCCATTATCAGCTCTCGGTCTTTCCGTCACAGGTTCATGAGGTTGCCTCTTCCTAGCATGTATGTTGCTTGGATGCTGGGATGGCCAACAACTCAGCTAGCCCTTTAAACAACAACAACAACAACAACAACATTTCTATCAAGTCAACTAGTCCTTCCTTTTAAGCTGGAGCTTAGAAGTTCGCATTCATGAAGACCTCATGGGCGTGGCTGAGAGCAGCCAGTCACCCCAAATTCAGAAGTTGACAAACATTGTTACTAATGTCTCCCAGCAAGAGGTAAGCAGGAGTGGAGGACCTTCCTACAATAGAGTTCTCCGTACTAGGTACATTTCATATTCTAAATTTCCCCTCGGGTGTTTTATATTCCGTCACTGCAGCCTTGTGCAGCAACTTTACATCCAAATGCCCACGTAATTACTTGTCTTCCATGGCCTCCTTTCAAGCCCTTGGGTCCTTGGATGCTATTGTCCTGTCCAGGAATTCCCTAAAAAGGAGAAAAGAGAAAAGACGAGCGGGTCTTTAACATATCGTGAATTCAACAAAGAAAGCAGAAGCGATGGGTGGCTTGCAAGCATTTGATTTGCCTCCTGGGACTGCTACTAGCGGACTCGGAGTGGGTGCCCTAGGTGAGCACATGGAGAGGAAGCAAGAGCTTACCACCACAGGAGGCATGGCCAAGAGAAACCAGATAAGTCTTGTGTCCTGCCCTGGGGCCAAAACCAACTCGATTATTCTCTTTCCTCTTGGGAGAAGCTACACACTGTGATAGGGTAATCACACGCACGCACGCACACACACACACCCTGACCAACGCTGAAGATCACATACCTGTCACACTGTCTAAGCAGGAACAGTCGCTATAAGGGTGACACAGGGGAGCTGCCTGTGAGTTGTCTAGGGTATAGAGCTTGTTGAGTCTCCCTTCTTCCTTCCCATGCTGGGGTAGCCTTCCAGGGAGGCAGTTGCCCCAAAGTCACCCATGCTCCTGTAAATAACCCTTCATCCATGTCTCCACAATCAACTCAAATAAACTCACTGGTTCACTCGGCTAGACTTGGATGCAATCATTTCTTTGGGATGTCATCTGGGGTGGCCAGATGTTTCTTGATGTCTCCCCAGAAAGTGCTACAGAACGCGGGGCAACCTGGGTGCCTCCATGTCCTATTCTATATGCTTATTCCTGGCTTATAGAAAAGCTTGAAATCACGAGTGTTTTTGTTGTTGTTGTTGTTGTTTGTTTGTTTTAAATATTCACCCAAACATCCCAGTAGCAACTTGCAAGAAATATCACCATTGTGGGATAGCATCCTTAGCAGGCAAAACCGCAAAGCTTCTAACTTGGGGACCACAGTCAGACTGTGTGTCATGGTGCTGTGACCATCGGTTGAGTCAGTCAAGTCAATCAATGCTCCAGTAAGCTGTGAAGGCATGGCAGCGGCGCAGGCCTGCTGAGTGCCAGCTGCCAGGCTGTTCTGCTGACAGCACTCCAGACTACCTCCAATCAATCAATAAGCAATTTGCAATCACCAACAGGGATGAGACACGGTTCCAGACACTCAGGAAGCCTTTTTATTTATTTTTTAAGTAGTGTTTGGACTTGGACTTAAATAGCTTTTAAGATAAAAGGAAGAAAGAGAAGAACCCGGCTTTATATTATATGATTGCTGTTACTAAATTGCTTCTACTGAACCAGGGTAATTTTCTACATTTTCATTTTCTCTTCAAGCTGAAATCCTCGCCTCTTAAACCACTAAACATGGACATACCTAAGTAAAACACCTGGAAAGCAATAGCTTGGTGAGGATGATATGGAGAAGGAAGATCACCTGAAGAATTTCTTTATCCACTTATTTGCGTTGATATGGGTTCTCATTTGCAGCCTGGGCTGGTCTGGGAACTCTCTATGTAGGCCAGGATAGCCTTGAACTCATAGAAATCTGCCTGCCCCCACCTACCAAGTGTTAGGAGTAAATATGTATGGAACCACACCCTGCTCAAGTCCGGAACTATATCCACTGAATGATAAGGCCCTTAATTTGAAGAACGTAAGGCTAACACACTAGCACATCACAACGAAACCTCCTACCTTGTATGCAGTTGAGTTGGTCGGTCCGTGTGAATATAAACTAATCTCTCTACATCCAGCAAGAATAAAGAGCACCATTTAACACAAATTTATGACCAAACACGGGCTTCTAAGTAACACTGTATTACGGTCAGGTGATGAACATACTTTATCTGTATCTTTAAAGAGAAAGATTTTGTTCCTTTTTCTCCCATTATATGAAATTAAAAAAAAAAAAAAACTACCATCAAAGCTGGGTGTTGTGGGGGCCACACCTGTAATCCTACTACTTGGGAGGCAGAGGCAGGAGGATTCAGAGTTCAAGACCAGCCTTAAACAAACCAAAAATCATCCAGTCAAAATGGGACATTCTAAACTCCTGTTGAGATTTTCTTTTCCCGGAATTTTTGTTACTTGCATGCATTCCTGAGGAAAATCTGATCCTATGTGTGTTCCATTTATTCTGTCACTATTTCTCTTCCCAGATTTTCCTGAAATAGCACTGCACTAAAACCACACACACACACACAGCACAGAGAGCTGTTTTTTATTTGAGCTGCACATTTCCAAGCAGGTGAGAAAGGACTGTCTGTCTAAGGTCTGTGTGGCTGACGGCCCACCCCAGATGTTCTGGTGGGATGAGTTCACAGTCATCTTGATGTCAAACAGCACTGCCTTCAAAACTAAAAATCTCCTCTTAGTATTCAAGTTATTCAGACAAAGAAAAAAAAATAACTATGTGTGGTACACGTACAGAGGTCAGAGGACAAATCTGTAGAGCCAGTTCAGCTCGCACCAGGTTCTGGGATTGAACTTGGCTCATCAGGTGCCTTGGCCCACTAAGCCATCTCTCCCGCCTGCTTTGAAAAATGCTCTATTGTCCCTGGCAATTAAGAGGATGTCTGATTGAAAACGATTGAAAATTGTGTATGAATACCTCAAATGAGCTCGCAGCCATCATATCTAGCTGACTGAAGTATCTGTGAACCAGAATCGTTTCTTGCTTACCCAGCTATGAAATGACACTTGTTTCCCGAATCTACGTGACACACTTTGAAGTTATTTGAAATTATTAGGAGATGCCAACCAGTAAACAATGTCATCTTCGAATGAAACCTTTGGTTTTTTAAACTTTATATGTATTTATTGGTATGTATGTGTTCACACTGACCAACGTTTGCTCAATAAAGGCACACATGTCGCCATCCAGAAATCCTGTTCCTAAATTATATCCTTGACATAATGTGTGCGCCAAAGGACATGCAAAAGAATATTCACGGCAGCACTATGGACAACCTACATATCAACCAATAATAGGACAGAGATAGGATGATGAAGTCCCAACGCAATGCTATAAAGTAGTGATCTCAAGTGGTGTGTTACAGGCAATGTGAATGCATCTCACGGTCATGATGTAGAGCAAAAGCAGCCAGAAGCAGAAGAGTATGACCGTTCACGGGATGCTCAAGGGCTGTTAAGACTGATATCCTATAATAGTGGTGATGACCCGAGCGGGTGAGGGGGGCAGGGAGTGACTGGAGCAGGTAAAAGGGTGCCTCTAGGATTCAGGTGTGTCTGCTTTCTTCACCTAGGTGATGACCACACAGGCATCTTCCGGCGCTCAAGCCCCTGCTTTCACAGTTGGGTACTGTGCTGATGCTCATCAAAAAAACCTCAACATTTCTTGAAAAAGTCCTAGTTCATTGTTGTTCTGTAGAGTCACTGAAATGTGGGCATGGTGAGGGGAAAGCCCCATGCCCTGACTTTCACTGACATGGTGTGCTCACACATGGATGTGGGCGGGGCCTGCTCAGCTTGTTACACTAGCCTGTACCTTTGTGCCCAGAGGATTGCCTAGTAGAATCCTCTCCAAGTCCTCGGATTGGGAAGACAAGGCTGCTGTTCTCAACAAAGACAGAATCTTGGGGAACAGACAAATAGAGGCAATTTTGTTTTTTTCCCATGCTCTGTATTTTGAGGTGCTTAGGAAAATAGCCGAATAGAATTTCTAGAATTCCTTCATCACTCAGAAGCACAAGAATGACTATGAAGAAGATAACAGGCATACGAACTACATTTAACATCTCCAGTTAGGACTTCAAGGTTTTAAGCTCAGGAGTATGTCCATGTGCCTTAAAATGGAGCACCTCTCCTCTACGGAAGGGAGCCCTAACTATGGTCTGCACAGCACCTAACCTCCCAACCCTCCCCCCACTTACCGGATCTCCCCGAAGGCCCTTTGTTCCACGGTCACCAGAAGCTCCTCTCCCGCCTGGGCTTCCCTAAAGTTAACACAGACCAGAGCAAGAACAAGTTGGGAGGTTTCAATAAGCTTAATATGCATAAAGAACGGGCTTAGCTTCTCTCCGGCTTGAATAATTAAATATTTTTTCTGCTGAGGTTGTTTTTAATCTGGATAAAGAAACCACAAAAAAAGAAAGAAAGAAAAAGAAAGAAAGAAAGAAAGAAAGAAAGAAAGAAAGAAAGAAAGAAAGGAAGAAAGAAAATACTTGTCATTAAAGAAATCAAAGCAGTAACTCAGTGGTGACCTTGGTTATTTATCACAGTCATGAACTCAGTGTTCCAGGTACGCTTGTCTGCTTGCTTGGTTGTCACTGTTTTGCAAAGATTTAACTTTTTGTTGTGGTTGTTTTTTTGTTTTAATGAGGCAGTGGAGACTTGACATTCGTGCCACCTGCCCAAGGATACTTCACAACAACTTGAAAGTGGGTTTTGAAATCAACTGCTCACACCATGAAGAGCAAGCCGAAGCCCAGGGGGTGGCTGCCTCTGTGCCCCAGCTGGAAAGGAGTGCCAGGTACTCTCGCCAGCTGCCTGACGCCACAGACCTCAGTCAACGCCTCCCCCGTCCCTAACATGGCAGCTTCCTCCATGGCCCCAGTTACGGCCCCCCAGCCCCCCTGTATCTGGTCCTTTCTCACAAAGCTGTGAAGTGACATGAAATTACAGTGGGCAAGATTCATATTCTTTCTCTCTTTCTCAGTGTGTCTTTGTGTGTGTGTCCGTGCATCTTGTTTTATACAGGGCCTCACTCTGTACCCTTGGCTGGCTTAGAACTCACTATGCAGACCAAGTCGGCCTCAAACAGAGAGAGCTGCCTGCTTCTGGCTCCTGAGAAGTGTGCCGAGATCAAAGGTGTGTGCCGCTCTGCCTGGCACTTCCCCTGTATTGAGGACTGTGTGACTGGACGGGAATCAAGAGAAAGGAGTGATTCTGAAAGAAGGTCTCAACACGCCGAGAGAGGTCTTCCTTACGAGTTTCTAGCTGCCTTCCATAGAAAAGTCACGGTCAGTGTGCTGAGAAACACATGAACACCATATGGACCTGGGTCAAGGTCGGCCATGCCCAGCCTTGAATAGCAGAACCCATCAGACACATAAGAAATTAATGTTTGTTGTCATATGTGATGGGGCTTCATGAATACTCGCCCCTAAACAAGCCAGTAGCTGTAGCCAATGAACAAGGCTGAGGTACTTGTTTTATTCCATAGACCATTTTCTTTCACTTCAAGTGCAGATTTATAGGTGGTTGTTTTTTTCTTATCTTGAATTCCTACCTGAGATCCCTCATCACCCTTTTCTCCTCTTCTTCCAGGAATCCCACTGTCACCCTAAAAATGGAGACGGGAAAGCTCAAACTCTCATTTTCTCCATAAGAACCAGCGGACAAGGGTGTGTGGGGTAGAAGGCAAGCATTGTACCTCTTCTCCATCTAATCCATCAAGTCCATTTTCCCCGACTTCTCCCTGCGAAGACAGATGTGATCAGAATATGGTGCACCTCTGTCAGATGCCAAACAAGGACCGTCTCAAGGGTTCCGTGCTGAGCCACAGCTTCTTTGGTAGGGGGTGCTTGGATAACGTCAAAGATTACTTTCAGGAATAGGAGCTGTCATAATTAACCAGAGCCTGCCTGCCATGAGAGGCAGAGAGGCAGGGGAAAGCAAGACAGCTTGGTTCCATCTTACCCCTGTCAGAATGGCAGATACCACCAAAATGATGGACAGTGAATGCTAGAAGGGATGCAGGGGAAAGGGACCCCTCGTTCACTGTTGGTAGGGTTGCAAACTGGGGCAGCCATTGGGGAAATCCATGTGGAGGATTATCGAAAAGCTAAAAATAAATCTATCTTATGACCCAGATATATCACTCCTTGGCATATGCCCAAAGGACTAGACATCACATTCCACAGATACTTGCTCAGCCTTGTTTATGGCCGCTCTATTCACAATAACTAGGAAATAGAAACAACCTAAATGTCCTTCATTGGACAAGCTGATAGTGAAACTGTGGTTACGTAAACCCTATGGAATACTATTCAGCTGTGAAGAAAAATGATGCGCAGGTAAGCGAGTGGGACTAGAAAAGGCCATGCTGAGTGAGGTAATCCAGACCCAGAGAGGCAAATGCTGCCTGCTCTCTCCCATTGGAGGCTCTTCGCTCCAAATCTTCAGGTGTGAATATGAAGCCTGAAGTAACTACAGAAACCTGCCAAGTAAAATGGGACCATTGCTAGGATAGGGAGGTTGAGGAGCAGGAGAGAGGGCAGCAGCAGCAGTGCGCAGCTGATGTGATTAGGGAAATGGGAAAGGGGTGGAGCTCCTTAAAGAGGAAAGAAGTAAATACAGAAGAAGGTAGGAGGAGGGCAACGAAGAGGGACCTGGTACGGGAAGTGGGCAAAGGGGAGGCTCTTTAGGGAGGGGGAGGGAAAGAAATCCAGAAGGTGAAAGGAAGAAGGTAAAATAACAGTAAGGATGGCTGATAAAAGTGTATGGAGTCATATTGATGACTATTTACCTAAACTACATCGTAAAATACAGGTGATTCAGCGTATATGCATACATGTAGAGTTTAAATGCATTTTCTCATCTGAGCTGACAGTGTCCCTCCAAGAGCCAAAGACCGCCTGAAAATAGCTCCAATACAAGACATGAGAAGTCCTCTTTTGGGTTGTTGGCCAGGGCTGTCCAGAAGACTCCCAAACACACAGCCTACCGCTGCTGCCCTTGATTGCCTCACAGAGGTGGAAGGTAAAGTCCCTATTGCTGAAGACACGATGCATTTCAGGCCCTGAGCCCAGGGACCCAGAACTGGAACCAACCTGAATGCCTCCTCCCTGAGGACTAGCTTTGGCGGTGCCGGATGGCACCGTGTAAGCTTCCAAAGAAGGGAGGCAGCCCACTGTCCTTCCCAGCTATGACACCTATGAACCACACTGACCAGACTGGCGGTGATAATCCAAAGGATTCAGTCGTGGCAGGTATACTTTGGTGATACCAACGGCTCCCCAGCCCGACTTAGGCCCCACTCAACATGAGTGAAAAAATGGTGCTTGAAACTGAGTGAACTGTTCAGTGCTAGTGAAGTCATGGAGCTTGGAGGAGAACCTACAACCATTTTACTGAACTAACACACTTCCCAATAATAATCTGAACATGTTGTCCTTATACCACAGAGAAATGTAGTTCCCACACCTCCCTCATATCATGGAAACTTCTCTTTGCAGCAGACAGAGGCCACTACAGAAAGTCACAATCATTCAAAATGTATCATCCTAGAACACGGTAGATGGAGCCATCTATAAAACACACCTGCATTCAAGGCCCAGCATTCCAGGAGAAGGGGAAGAAAGACAGTGAGAACCGGCAGACCGGGACTTTGCTGTGAGACTGTGTCTCCTAGTAATGTCAAAAGCTACACTCATAGAATCTCACCAACATGAGTACCTAATCGTGAGAGAAACAAGGACAATGACATTAGACATGTCAAGGTGGGTGGGGAAAAGCTCACAATCCCACACAAAGAACTACAGTCAACTGAGGAACACTGTGCAGGAGAAATAGTCTTCTCCAGAGAAGAGCACATCAATTGGCTATCCAACATCAAATGGTCAGCCCTGAAAATATATATAGGAGTAACATTTTACAGACCGAGCAGGTTTCGTTTATGTACGTGTATACATATATATACACAATAACAACTAATTAAAAATGGCCATGAATTTGAAAAAGGAGGGTCATATGAGAAGGTTTGGAGGAAGGAAAGGGAAGAGAGAAATACTGTAATTGTAATATCAAAAATTAAAAAAAAAAAACCTAAATGAAATGAGTGATACAAAAAAACCCCACATTTTTTCTGAATAAAGAAAGGGTAAATAAAATACATAAGCCTGGCACCATACCTTTTCTCCACTGAGTCCTCTGGTACCCTGAAAAACAAAACAACAGAAAAAAAACAGCAGCATGAGTGTGGGAAGTGCACTGAATTGCTAAGATGTCACAGGGTCTTACAAATCCTTACCTTAGGCCCTTTGGCGCCTACGCATCCCTTCGTGCCTTGCTCTCCTGCTGGTCCAGGGGCTCCTCTTTCTCCCTGAGAAAAAGCAGAAAAGCAGAAATCCAGATGAGTGTGTGCTGTCATGATCTGGGAATCTGTCCTGGACACTCGACAGGTTTTTGTTCGTTTTGTTTTGTTTTAATTTTAAGAAAGCATCTGGTTATTCATGACTTACATTCCAGGACTCAAGCCTATGAAAACAAAGTATGGAAGTAAATCAGAACTACCATGATGGCGACCCTTTGCGTTGGACAGCACCTGCACGCTGCCTGCACGGAGCTTCCCTTTCCCCAGGTGGCCACCATATCGCTCCCTTTTAACCTCCTTACCATGTGTGTTCATTCTGCCCTAAGCAGAGATTCAGGACTCGTTGCCTGGTTCCTGTGGCTTTAAGACTTTGACCTTGGTCTGAACATCACCCATGATGCTGCTTGTGCATGCTCTCAGACTATTCCCATCATTCTCACTCCTGTGCTCACCATCATTCACTATTCACTAGCTAGACATAAGCCAGTCTTCTCTGTGGGACTTCTGCAGTGTCCCAGGTACCAGCCACGCTGACCATGCGCCATTTTGCCAATCCCCAATTCTTTGATCCCATTGTTGTCCTTGAACACGAGGTTCCCATTCCAGTAAAATAGGATTTCCCACACACTTTACCCAGAGAAACTCCTTGTCATCCTTCAAGGGTCTGCCCAAGTGTTACTACTTACCCCTTGCTTTATAACCTTTTCCTATCAGGTCCAACTTCAAGCTGTTATGTTCTACTACTGGGTCAATACTGTCACTACCCTGTGCCTCTGGCACAGCTGGATACAGCTGCCTTGTTTGTCCTCTCACTAGTGTGGAAAGTCCCTAAGGTAGGAAAATAAGTGTTTGTTTTGTATTTTTTCCCCTCATTTCTAGGGTATATGTATGTGTGTGTGTGATAGACAGACAGACGGACGAACGGACAGACAGACAGACAGATAGATTAGATATAGAGATGGATATAGAGATACTGAATATGTATATCAGTGTCTTTGGTAAATAATGAAGTGAACAGTAAAGCTTAAATGTGCATTATCAAATAAATGCATGACTGGATGCATGAAAGGAAAAAGGAAGAGAAGAGAAGAAATGGAGAAAAAGTGAGAGGGGATAGAAAAAGGGAAGGAGAGAGGAGTTCCTGATAAATGATGAGTGGTGAGTTGCTTTAATTTTTACAAGATGACCTGGGCAGATGTGGAGAGCCTACTTTCACACCTCATGCACCGTGCATGGGTACGTGGGTAAGTCAGAGTGAGATTGCACCACTCAAGAGACTGTTTCCTAAGCACGTGGAGGGTCAGGAAAGACCCGAGATGCCGCATCTGAATCCTTAGACTCTGACTCTCTGTGCAACAGGTCTGGACTTACAGCCATGCCCTCTTCTCCCAGGTAGCCTTCACTGCCTTTAAATCCTGGGGGTCCCTGAAAAAAAAAAAAAAAAGGGAAGAGGAGAAAACATGAGCCCTCCACAGGGAAATGAGAGCAATCGGCAGATCCGCCTCTCTGCGG